CGTGACATCTGTTAGGCCGTCAGTGCCTGATGCCCTATCCTATTTAAAGAACTATCACCTGAGAACTTTCCTTTTGCTTGAAGTGCTGCCCTGCACTCTTACAAACAGGTAGTATCCATTGACAGAAACCATGGGCAGCCAGTTTATTTATCCAGGGGCAAATCAACAAAACTGTAAGAGGCAATCGAGGGTGACTACGCTTGTTGTAGCAGCAGTCAAGGGTATAAAGCAATTGCTGCTCTTAGCTCAAAATAATGAGATTTAGTATTTTGTCTCTTCCAATACCTTTGATTTGCTATAATCACATTACTTCTTTAAACAAAACTTCATCAGTAACAAGCAATGCAAAGACAATAGCCCCCAAAGGAACAAGAACAAAGAAAAACAGACGAAAGTCCTTTCTTGAAAAGTTAGAGTACATGCCTGGGAATCCTCAGATAATTTCTCGTTTACGTTTTTTTTTTTTTTTAACTTCTGTTTTCCTTTAGTATATACTTTCCAGTAGTAAATTTCCATACCTCAGTTTTTCCAGGAGTTTTTAGAACCAGCCCACATTATTAAAAGCAAATTCATTATTTCTCTGTTTCAGCTGAATGAAACGTTATTTCGCATGAACTGCCAAAGTTTATGGTTTTCTTTATATGCCCATCAAAGCCGGTCAATTACAGGGATCCGCATATCTTAGAAGACAAAGATTGCAGGAAGGTTGCATTCGGAGAGCGAGGTGGAGTGCGATTTGCCAGCTGCAGGGAAAAGCCAAGTTCATCCTCCCACCCCACCCCACACAAAAAAAGACAGTTCTAATTTTCTCTACTTCTTCCACAAAAAGGTTAACATTTTTCTGGGTGTTACCCTCCCCGGCAGGGTTCTGTAGCCTCGGGCAGCAGCCAAGCCTTCGTTCTCCTCCTCCCTGGCGTGGAAAGCCTGGAGGCAGCTTACCCTGAGCCCGGCCAGCGGGAAGGAGCAGGATCGCCAGGGCTGAGACGAGGGCAGCTCCGGGAGCCTTCATGTCAGCTCGCCTGGGCGCTCCCTCGGCAGGCTGTGCTGGCTTCAGCCTCCCTGAAACGTGAACATTTCCTGTTTCCTGCTTGTTTGGGTCGGTGCTAACTTGAAGGAGAAGTGTTTGCCTGTTTTTTAGGAAGTGATGTAATTCTGCAAGAGCCTGTCAGACCAGCAAGGATTGCAAAAGAGAAGTCGCTCTTCAAGCACCGATTCGGTTAGCACGTCTCTTGAGCCCTCGTCAGTGCCGGCCCTGCTGCTGGCCTCTGTCTTTTGTAATTGTCCCTGTGGAAACAGTGTCCGTTGCTCAGACATCATTTGGAACCTGGGATGGGGGTCCTGGGACCGCGTGCATTCTTGATTTGTGATTATTTACCCACCCCCTGGGGACTCTGCGGCTGTCTCGAGCCTAGAGGAGCACTAGCCAGCAGTAGGACGTTCTGAGATGTTCAACTTCACTGTTCCGCTCATTAGCTACTAGCCCCATGGGCTACTGAGCACTTGAAAGGAAGTGTGAAGTGAGTTTTTATTTTTTATTTTTATTAATTTAAATTTAAATAATTCCATGCGGCTAGTCCTGCCATATTGGGCAGCGCAGGCCCACCCGTATCACCAGGAAATGTCCATGCCACTTATCTCCAGCCAGGTCCATCCTCCTTCCCCAGCCCTGAATGCTCCCTCCCTTCAGGCTCATAGGGAGGACAAGGACACCCATGCCTGAATGATGTGCTCTGCTTCCCCAGGGAGAAATTCCGTGTTTTTTGTTTGTTTGTTTTGTTTTTTTGTTTGTTTGTTTATTTGTTTTTCTTTGTAAAGACTTTATTTTTTAAAGCAGTTTTAGATTCGCAGCAAAATTAAGAAAGTACCGAGATTTCACATATACCCTCTGCTCCCCACCACATGCACAGCCTCCCCCATTATCAACACCCCCCACACAGTGGTCCATTTGTGGCAAGTGATGAACCTACACTGACACGTCATCGTCCCCCAAGGTCCATAGCGCACATTAGGGTTCACTCTTAGTGTCGTACGTCCTTTGGGTTTGGACATATTTATAATAATGACACGTATTCTCACGATAGTGTCACTGCCCTAAAAATCCTCAGTGCTCCACCCATTCATCCCTCCCTCGTGCCCCCCCTGACCCCTGGCAGCACTGATCCTTTCTCTGTCTCCTTAGTTTTGCCTTTCCAGGATGTCACGTAGTTGGAATCACACAGTGTATATAGCTTTCCAGATGGGCTTCTTTCACTTAGCAATATGCATTTAAGGTTCCTCCATGTCTTTTCATGGCTTGATCGCTCATTTCTTTTCAGTGCTGAATAATATTCCATTGTCTGGAGGTGCCACAGTTATTTATTCATTTACCTACTGAAGGACATCGTGGTTGCTTCAAAGTTGTAGCAATATGAATAAAACTGCTGTAAACATCCCAGTGCAGGTCTTTGTGTGCGCGTAAGTTTTCAACTCCTTTGGGAAAATACCAAGGGGCCTGATTGCTGGATCTGCGGTAGGAGAAAAACGACCTTTTAAAGAGCCTATAGCCAAGTGGAGTATGTCCTTGGGGGCGGGGGGAGGGGGGCGGGAATCTGCATTCCACCTTTCTTCCTCCTTGAGCGACAATAAATTTCTCAGAGGTCATTAACAACAAACAAAATAGGACTGAGTTGGATTAGAAGGGGGTGGAAATCCTACCCATTTGAAACAATGAAGAAGGAGGTGTCTGTCTGGACGGGAATGCAGGGAGATGAGAGTGGTAGGTCTTTGTGTTCTAACTGAAGACCTTCCTTTGGCGTGGGGTTAGGGCCTAAGCACTGTAGAATGCGATTTCATAATACGGTTTGTCGTGGTGCTAAGAGAGACAGGCAGATAGAGAGAGGCATGAGACACCCAACTCATCTCTAACCCTTTTCCTGCAAGTTACTATGAGTCATCTCCTTCCGTCCAGTAGGCTTCATCTTCAGTGATCTGATTGGTGTAAACACTTGAGGTGACTGAGATTCCTCTGCCCCTGACATAGCCATTAATTTGTTGTTCAGTGCATTGTTGCTTTTCAATGTCACTAGACACTCTTTATCTCGGTCCTTATGCACAAGAAATAGGTTGATGATTCATATAATAATCAGTTTGTTAATGAATTTACAGTATGGATTTTAATGTTTTAAACTGGCAATGAAGTCAACTCCTGATAAAATATGTCTTTGCAGCTTAGGTGACAATACAGAACAAATGGCGGAAGAAAACAGACAAATTCACAACTAGATGATTGATTGGAAAACAGCAGGGAAGGAACCATTAATCAAACTCTCGCTGAGCAAGTGAAGAGACCATTGGTTCAGAGACCCTCTAGCGCTGACTTTGGTTGGCAGTTATCCTGTACTAACTCGCATTTTTCCAGCTGAGACACATATGCAAGAAAGAAGGCCACGGGCTTGGGAGCTGCCTTCGTTCTTCCATTTACGCTCTATTAAAACCGTTGTTGGAGCCCAGGCTGGAGGCACACGTTTGACAATGGCGAGGTGTTGGCCTTCCTTGGTTTCTTCGATTTTAAAACTACAGCTCACAGGAGGCTTTGCAGAGCCGGTGTCCGTGGCTGGACCGCAGGCGGTCCTAATCGGCAGCCGCCCGCGGAGGCCGCTGCGTGGCCCGACTGTTCCTCGCATCTTCCACGAGTGCGCCGCGCACTGCCTCTGAGCGGCACGACGCTACCCTGGTTAGAATGATGCGCAGAACAAACCGAGGCGGGGAGACGTCCTGCACCACCGCGTGATTTTCTTTTGCGCCCCGTGCTCTCAAAGACCCTTAGCGTGATTAAGCTGATCTCAGGGGGAAGAAAATTACCATCATCAATCAGAAAATTGTAGCACCTCAGTGATCTCTCTGCTGCAGTTAAAATCACAGGGAGACTGGTAGATAATGGGCTATTTACCTCTCTGTTTGTTCTTATTTCGCCAACCATTCATTTTGGCAAGTGGCCACCAGGCCTCAGATTAAATCCTGATACACTCGTGGCAGGAAGTTGGGGCCCCAGTCACAACCGTGAGGCACGGGGAGCCTTTGGAGGGAATGGCAGGCACACAGGCAGGGGTAACGTCACCTCAGTGCCTGCCACTGGCTTTTAGCAATGAAAGGAGAAAGGGAGGTAAGGAAGTACGGTGCCTAGGAAAAGTCCTGAGACCTCGTCATGCTCAGGAGGGTAAGAGGAAAAGGTAATGTCACGCTTAGGAAGGCAGGAGGAAAATGCACTTGCTGGTTCTGGGGACTCTTTATTACTTTATCCCCCCAAATCCGGCTTTTCTAATCGCCTCTCTGAATTATAGAAGTGATTCTCATCCAATTCTTCCTCCCTTCCCTTCTGCCTCCTCCTTTCCGTCAGCCCTAAAAGAGAAGGAACTCCGGGGAACAAACTCAGAAGTGGTAAGATTTTACTGTCAGTGCAGGCTCCTCTTACATTCTCCCTTACCCCCAACCTTGTCACTCCCCACATACACAGACACACACATTCATACACACACACTCAGACACACTCACACATACACACAGCTCCCTCTCACACACACATGCTCGCATGCACATGCTGACACACACTCATGCACACTGTGGAAATACGTAAAGACCAACCAGATGAGGACAAGCGAACGCTGTGTATTCCAAGCTTCCTGCAGCAAGGGAGTCAGCCACCAACACCAGCATTCTGGCAGAGACTCGAAAATCGGCAGAGGAGCAGAAACACTTTATCGTAGAAAAAGGAAAGGCTTCAGAATGTACCCTGATGCAATACCGTTGGCATGGGGAAACTAGAAACGAGTTCTAGTTATTGGTTCTAGTAACTGGTTAGAGATACATGTTTGCTTCTCCTAAACTGAAAGCAGAAGAAAAAAAATTACGGCTGACTATTAACAGCTATTGTGGTTTGGTTTCTTGGACCAGTTTCTAGAGGTAGGGTCTGACTTCCTACATGTTTGATGTAGACCCACCTGGCTTCCTGGGTTGTTTGCTGCATTGTGGGTCAGAGTTATGTTTTATATGGTCTGGCCACTGTTAGATTGTATTCAGTCTCTCAACACATACCCACATGCATAGTCATATACTCATACACACATGCTCGCACACACAAAAGCTCACACCCACACCGACACACTTGCATACACTTTCTGGGGCTTCTTGTCCTGTCTAAATGCTAACCAGTGGTAGTCGATGGCTCAGCAGTGTTTGCTTAACGAGGTAGCTGGGACCCAGATACACTATCGGGTGGGCCTGTACATCACTCTGAAGCCAGTTAGGTGGGTTCAGGGAGCAGATTAAGGTCCCAGGTTCTGAAGGAGTGCCCAGAGAGATTGGTGGGCAAGGCAGGGGCTGGGGCTGGGGCAGAAGGATTAAACTGGACTCCAGAGTAAGCGAAAAGCCGCGGCCAGGAGAGGGGCTAGTAGCAATTCTACTGTATCTTAGCTTGGTCTGCCATATGAAATTCCATAGACTAGGTGGCTTAAATGACAGACATGTATTTTCTCATAGATCTGGGGGCTGGAAGTCAGGGTCCCAGCACGATCAGGTTCTGGGAGAGCCCTCTTCCTGGCTGGCTACCCTCTCACTGTGTACTCACATGGCAGGGAGAGAAAGAGAGAGCAAGCTCTCTGGTGTCTCTTCTCATCACGAGGGCCTCACCCTAATGACCCCCATCTAATCCAACTACTTCCCAAAGGCCTCCCCTCCAAATACCACCATATTGGCAGTGACAACTTCAACATCTGAATCTGGGGGCAAGGGGAGAACACAGTTCAGTCCATCACACACTGCCTTTGAAGCCGGGAGCCCACACACCCAGGTGCACCCTGACCGGCCCCTTTGCATTTGTTGAAACCCCCAGTGGTCTCTTTCCTTGCATTCCGGCTGCTGATCTAGTCACATACTCTTCAGCTTGTGACTCAGAGCAGCTGCTGCAGGTTTGCAGAATGCTAGGGGCTTCCACCACAGGCCTCGGCCTGGACCACCCCCATGACAGTCTCCGGAGTCTAGGCAAATAGCCTGGTGACCAAAAATGAAACTGCAAAGGGCTGTGGTTAGGAGCTGAAG